TTCAAGGTGGAGGCTCGCCAGTCCCCCTTAGCCAGAGCAGGGTGGTACTGTACGTTCTCTGGCCCCTGAGGTGATGTCCCTCGGGGCTTCTGCCGACCTTCGAGATCGTTCAGTGAGGTGAAGACACTTCAGTGACTGTAACGTGTGTCTGTGTGCAACACCTAAAAATAGTTTCCAGTGACTGTCATGTGATGCAATGGTAATGACAGTGGCAATGAAAAAAACGATATGTTTAACTATTGTGATGGTTTATAATATTGCAAAATATCAATACACACATACACACACACACACACACACACACACATACATACACACACACACACTGTATATATATGTGTATGTGTGTGTGTGTGTGTGTGTGTTTGTGTTTGTATATATATTATACAAAATAAATGTAAGAAAGTAAATGGCATCTTTATATATGTAACATCTTACAAGACATTAATTTGAGGACTGATTTTATTGTTATCACTTATTTCTGTAAATAAGGCACCAGAAGTTTGTGTCTAAGGAAAAAAATCAAATTAAGCATTTAAACAGACGCCGCACTAGATCTGACGTAGAGCAGATGGTGTGTGCGTTTGTATTTGTGTGCGCGCGTGTGTATGAGGTTGCATGATAACGCCAGGTGCTCCAGTAAACTAAGGTCACCCAGCCTTCACCACGCGCGCTCGTGGTACCTTCACCTATCACGCTTCCACACTGAAAGAACCATAGAATCATCATCTAGATTAACAGAAAATGCATATGGATATTATGCAAGAAGGGAAAGAGTTGGGGAGAAGAGGGCGAGGATTGAAAGGAAGACAGTGAATTGAAGGAAAGAGTAAGATGGAGAGGATGAAGAAAAAAAATAATGATGAAAAAATTTGCGAATATAAAATATGAGAGAGAGAGAGAGAGAGAGAGAGAGAGAGAGAGAGAGAGAGACGAAACAAGTAAGGAATGGAAGTAGATTATAGCGATACCCATGAAAATTAAAAATAACATTTGATAATGATTATAATTAGGAACACCAAAAAATAAACGACCTTGATAATAATATTTTCATATCCATAATAAATAATACTGTCATGATAAAACAAGAAAAGAAGAACGCAGAGATATAAAGCAAATCAGAGCAGGCTTACTGAGCTTACTACTCCGGTTCTGGGTAGATGTCAAGTTGTGAAATACTAGATAAAAAAAATCGTGCTGCGTTCTCACTGGGAACGTGATCCAGAAAATAATATCTAAGTAGTTACTGATAAAAGACTGATCTCATGCTCTGATAAGTCCAACCATGGTGAATACCGATTAATCGTCATTATTAAGCTGTGGAATATTATACGTTGGATAATCATTGGTAAAATCAGTGCCTCGTGTATTCTTCGAGATGAGCATTGAAGAAGCGAACTTCAGAATGAATATAGAAAAAAAAAAAAAACTCCTTACAGTCCTTTCGTCATACCGCTCGTTCTAACAATCGTTCTTTTTTACAGTTAATTCTTGATACTCGCATCGATATTTTTCTTTACAGCCCTTACATCGCACTGCTCATCATCAAATTATATTTCTGTGAGAGGAAGGGCGGTGGTCACTTCAGTCCGCGCGTGTCAAGGGTTACTCTGCTTTCCCTCTTCAGTGTGACGTCACAACAAGCAAAGTGGGCGGGGCACTGCGTATATATATACCTTCTCCAACCAGGGGAGTGGTATTCCTTCCCTCTTCCTAGACGAAATAATATGACTTTCAGGGTATGTATCCTGCAGATGCTCGGGTATGAGAGAGAGAGAGAGAGAGAGAGAGAGAGAGAGAGAGAGAGAGAGAGAGAGAGAGAGAGAGAGAGAGAGAGAGTGAGTGAGTGATTAATGAGAGTAAGTCTTGAGTGAGACTCATTCCCGTCTCCTTTATGTACAGATTGTTGTCTTCGTCTCCCTGATGGTTGGCGTTTTTGCTGACTCTGGGCCCAGGTACAGTCCACCCCCTCCAGCCTACAACCCTCCCGCCCCAGCCTACAGTGCCCCTGCACCTGCCCCGTCAGTAAGTCTCGAAGATAAAAAACGAAAAAGGAATAATTGAAGTTACATACCCATATGATATATGCATATATTTACATGTACACAGACACACATATGTATATATATACACATGATATATATTTATATTGTATATATATATATATATATGTATATATATACACATTGATATATATATATATATATATATATATATATATATATTGATATATATACATATATATATATATATATATATATATATATATATATATATATATAATATATATATATAATATGATATACATTAACATCTATCTATCCATCTATATCTATCTTTATATATGTTCATTGTCACTATATTGTCACTGACTTTATACCAAAATTGTTAAACCTATCATTGTTGAAAATGATTATCATGGTACGTATGACCAATTTATCACTGTATAAATCTATTTTATTTAGGGACCTGCACAGTACGACTTCAACTATGCCGTGAAAGGACGACTACTCCGGAAACGACTTCGGTCACCAAGAAAACCGAAACGGATACGACACTCAGGGTACCTACTACGTCCAGCTTCCCGACGGTCGTCTGCAGACGGTGACCTACACCGTGAACGGCGACTCTGGCTACGTAGCTGAGGTTTCTTACCAAGGAGAAGCCCAATACCCAGCCAGGAGCCTTCCAGGTGCTCCCAGCCAGCTCCATCCTACCAGCCTGCCCCCTCCCCACCTACCACCTGCTCCACTCCTGCCTATGGCTAATCTTTCATATCGATATACTAGATCCTGAAAAAGAACGTGTCTCTTATTGTAAATAACCATTGTGTTCAATATTTTGTTTTATGAGTACATAAGGGCCTTTTCCACAGATCTATATAAAGCAACCAACAAGAGAACCGAAGCAACGCAAGCAGCGTGGCAGCAATAATGAAAATGATATATAAAAGATAAAACCGATAATATAAATACTGTAGATACAAAGGTATACATACAAATATTAAATACACATACATATTTACGTATATGTACATACATACATACACACCCACACCCACACACACACATATATATATATATATATATATATATATATATATATATATATATATATATATATATATATATATATATATATAGGAAAGGTATGAATGAGAACGAATAATAAAAAAATAAAAAAATAAAAAAATAAAAAACTGGCTAGTTTTTGACGTTAAATCCCTTTTTACAAATGTACCCACAGATGGAGCTATCCGGGCAGTCGAGAGGGTCACCGGATCCATGGTAGATGACGAACTTCCACTGCCAAAGCACCACTTCATAAGCCTCGTGAAGTTGTGTGTTGGACTTCGGCTTCTTCGAGTTCGCTGGGGATGAGTACCAGCAAATCAGCGGCCTCGCCATGGGGTCCCCTCTGAGCGCTGTCCTGGCCTGCCTCTTCATGGAGACGCTGGAAAGGGACCACTACAGGGATATAATCGGAAGGCACTCAACTTGGCTTCGTTACGTAGATGATGTCCTCGTCATTGTCCCCAGAAGGTCGTGTCTGCACCATACACTGACGCGGCTGAACTCCGTCCACGAGAAAATCCAGTTCACCGTGGAGGAAGAAGAGGATCAGAAGTTACCTTTCCTGGACACTCTGATCCATCGGGGTGACCTACGTTTTTCTGTATTACAGGAAGCCGACTAATAAAGATGATTATATCCATTATTACTCCGCACACAGCAATAAAACTAAATCTGGGTTGTGATTGGGTTCTTCCTCCGGGCACTGAGGATTTGCAGCCCTGAGTTCCTTGAAAGTGAAGTTACATATGTAATTGACTCTTTCATGAAACACAAATACCCCAAAGGTCTCCTGCTGAACCTCAGAAAGAAGGCGGAGAACATACTTTCAAGATCTAACCCCGTGATATCCTCCAATTTTCTCGTATTACCTCCATGTAATCTCTCCCAGGCGATCAGCAAATACTTTGCAATACTATGAACATCGCCAGCACATCCGGGGAAAAGATACATGACCTAATACGAGAAAAGAAACACAGAAAAGCAACACCGACAGTGCAGTATACCGCATACCCTGCAGCGGTTGCGATATGGCATACTATGGTGAAACTGGACGTGGCTTCAACACCAGGATCTACGAACATCGCGCCGACGTCCGTCACCATAGAAATTCCAACGCCATGGTGGTTCATGTAGATGAAGCTGGACATCTACCGAACTGGAAAGAAGCTGAAACAATCCATGAAGGATTAAGCAAACACAAAAGGAAGGTCATGGAAGCTGCATACATCGCGACAGAGAAAAACATGAACACCGCATCGGGTAGATTCAAACTATCCAAGGTCGCGGCCGCAATTATGCGCACAACGAGCGCGAGGTCACGGACATCAGGTGATTCATCAGCTCCGGTGTAATATAAATATGCTATGTATTCTCCAAAATGTATGTATTTCTGACGAAGATATAATCGAAACCGGTCAAATACATCTCTTGTATTGTGAAGATATTCGTTCTCATTCATACCTTTCCACATTTGTCCACATGAATACGGTTCATATATATATATATATATATATATATATATATATATATATATATATATATATATATATATATATATATATATATATACATATACGCATATGCACATATATCAATACACACACACACACACACATACACACACGCATGTAGAAATTTATGCATATATAAACGCACACACAACACAGACACATATATGCATATATGTATATGTGTGTGTGTGTAAATATATGTATATATAGAGAAAAAGAGAGAGGGAAATACTATGAATAAACACACACGCACACATATAAATGTATGTGTGTGTGCATATATACATGCATTTGCATATGATACGTTTATGTATGTATATATGTACATATTTATATATATGACATGCACATTCATGTTATATATACACAATGCATAGATGTAAATTCACCTATATATTTTTTTATATATATACACACATATGTATATATATGTACTATATATATATATATATATATATATATATATATATATATATATATATATATATATATATATATATATATATATATATATATATATATATATATATATATATATATATATATATATGAACTGTATATATACATACATATACATAAATAGTGTATATATACAAATATATTTAAATTTGCATATTATATACTTGCATATATATATATATATATATATATATATATATATATATATATATATATATATATATATATATGTGTGTGTGTGTGTGTGTGTGTGTGTGTGTGTGTGTGTGTGTGTGTGTGTGTGTGTTGTATGCGCGCGCGCGCTCACAAATGAATTTGTTTACATTATATATACATATATATTTCTTCATAAATACATACACATACACTCATATATTTTTGTTCAAGATACCTGCCACTAATTGAGTGATAAATATCAGTTAACTTAAGCAATGACGAACTTCTGAACCTATGTACTTTTAGCAGTTCACACAATTTTTTTCTTTTTGTTTTTTTTATTTATTTATTTATTTGTTTATTTATTTATTATTATTATTGCTATTATTATTATTATTATTATTATTATCATTATTATTATTATTATAGTAAAGCCAGTGAACGGCTGTGTTTAGTTGACAATAGCTATTATGATTTTGTTAGAAGTGCAAATGTCACTTTATTTTCAGGACTTCCCAGTGATAGTTCCTCCCATGGTTTACAGAGGGTATCGATAATGACTTTAAGAATATTTTTATGGTTGATTTATGATGTTAATTTTTGTCATTCAGCGTATTGACTTTTTTTTCACCTTCTTTATGCGAATCAGTTCTAGGCTAGATTATCTAATGTTATAGCTTTTAGTACTTCTGTTCTGCCCATTATGTATCATTAGAATAAAAATGACAAAGATGTCTTTACATCCATTATTTTCATATGATATATATATATATATATATATATATATATATATATATATATATATATATATATATATATATATATATATATATACATATATATATATATATATAATTATATACTTTTCCTATAGATATGTTTTACCGTTTAGATGTCAATGCATTATTGATATGCTCTACATACACACATATATAACACACAGACACACGCATATTCATGGAGTGAACACGACTCTTGTGAAAGAAAACAAGCGTGAGAAAGAAGGAATAATAAATATCAGAAAAAAAAATCAGAAACAAAGAAGAGGTCAAAAGAAAGAAGAGAGAAAAAGAAAATCGAACGAGATCGCTCTGTATGGATCCCAAGTTCGATACTGATCCTTTAACAAACCCATTCTGCTTAACCTCGAAGATGACCACCAGTGACGTCACGCCATGCAATGTGGGCGGACCTTCGCGTATATAAGCCGTAAGCTACCTCTGGTCGGTACCATTCTCTCTCGTCTTCCAAAGCGTAAAAGATGGCTTTCAAGGTAAGTTCTCGGCGTCTCTTGTCCACACACGCATATCTAAGGTGTCTTTCAGAATGACTTTTGAAAATAACACGTTTTCTTCAGATGAATTATATTACCATCCCGGTTATTTACAGGTTGCTGTATTCGTTGCCTTAATGGCCGGTGCCCTTGCTGACTCTGGCCCGAGATACAGTCCTCCTACTCCTTCGTACAATCCTCCTACTCCTTCGTATAATCCTCCTGCTCCTACCTACAACGCCCCTGCACCCGCCCCTGCGGTAAGTTGTTGAATATATTGTGTGCTAGCCTGAGGTTTCTAATGACAAAGCTAGAGCACTATTTAATTTTACTTGTATAACCGTTTCCGCCATTTTCTTCCCTAATCAGGGACCTGCCCAGTACGACTTCAACTATGCCGTGAAGGACGACTACTCCGGAAACGACTTCGGTCACCAAGAAAGCCGAAACGGATACGACACTCAGGGTACCTACTACGTCCAGCTTCCCGACGGTCGTCTGCAGACGGTGACCTACACCGTGAACGGCGACTCTGGCTACGTAGCTGAGGTTTCTTACCAAGGAGAAGCCCAATACCCAGCCCAGGAGCCTTCCAGGTCCTACCAACCTGCTCCTGCTCCATCCTACCAGCCTGCCCCCTCCCCATCCTACCAGCCTGCTCCCACCCCTGCCTATGGTTAATACATTGTACTAATGTGCAAAAACGTAAAATTACTTTGAACAAAGATTGTATGTAAATAAATATTATGTTGAAATTGAAAGGATATATCTAATTTCTCTACAAAAAATGAAGTCTCAGTTTTTAATTTTGAGTGTGATGACATATTCTTAAGACCAGTCAAATTGCTGCTCTATGTGCATGAAATTTACTATCCATGAGAGCAGGACTTGCTACACGAGACCGCTTGTGGTATAATTATTATCAGACCAATAAAATAAGATCATTAGCTACAATTACAATAACATTAACAACAGTGAGATAAAAGTTCTGATAGAGCAATGAAGCGTGCATGATATGAACTACAAC